GTTGGCGGGAGCTGGGACAAGCGATGGGCGCTCACTCCGTTGTGTGGATTCGATCTTACGACTGCTGGTCTTCTGACCCTGCAGCACAGGCTTCTGTGGTTTAGCCCACAGCACCACCACGCCCCCCTTCCTGGGATTATACAACTAGCCAAAGACCACACAAGTTTGCAGGAGACACACTGAGGAATCAAACTTTCAAGCTCTGGCTATACATAGAACAAAATTTGGTGTCCCCCCTCTATTTCTGAACCACCAATAAATTTTACTATGAGCTAATCAAGATGGTGTCCCTTTCACTATCAAACCTCCAGACTCCAAAAATTAAAAAAAATGAAAGTGACAATGTGGACACTTCTTGTTACAAACCTTCCACACTACACTTTGGAGGCTCTTGGGGCTATTTCCAGGCCTGAGGAGGTTAGTGACAAGTATTGGGGCTGAACATTTGTTTCACAGAACTGCCCGGCTGCCCACCTTTGATCTGCAACACTGTCCTGTTTCAACGTGGGAAAAGCCCCAATAGGAAAGAATTGTTCCACAAAACAGATGGGCCAGGCAAGGCAATGTAGAGGAAAAGGTCAAGGTACAGAGTCCTATGAGACAGTAACCGAAGCCAAGTAAGAATAATTCATATCCAGTGTCCAGCAACAGTCCAGAGCCTAACCATTCGAACAGAAATAGGAACAGGCAAGGATATTCCACATGACGCCGTCAAGACAGTTTAAGGCCATAAAGAGCACAGGAATCACAACTAGAATCATTCATTCCCGAGACTGAAGTTTGCATTGCTCAGCTTCTGGGGCCCCACACAGAATCATTTGGACAGCTGGTCTCCCTGGGAGGAAGTGCATTTCTTCAAAAGGACCCCTATTCTGGAGGACATATTTGCTCACAAGATACATTCCCATGAAGCCGAGCATTTTGTCTGAGAGCCATGAGGTAAGCACATGCCTTTAACGTATACCGTTCTTATGAGCTGAGAGAGAGAACTAGTCTTCCCCCCACCCTTTAGACAAGGTCTAGAAATCTTGTCTTCCTCTTACTGCTGCCTTTGAACCATCGAGGAGACTCATGCATTCAAGGTTGTGTACAGCTATACCGGTGGTATAGCCAGCTGACCTGGACGCAAGCCAGGCCAAGGGGAGTCTGTTTCATTAAATAGGCTGACATACTTCAGAATGCAGTGTTGATATATGCCCCCAGCACCATATGTTGACTTAAAAGGCAGTTCAGTTGCACACAAGATAAAGAAATGGCATAGAGATAAACATATAAACATGTAATTCTAGTATATCTCAACACTTCCTTTTGGCAGTCAAAAAACGAATAAAATGATTTTTTTAACAGAATGGCTTAAAGATTATTTAAAATCTTTCACATCATGCAGCAGATGTTAGTGAGTTTGCTCAGTGCATATATTCTGTCATTAGGGAAATCAGGAGCCCCTTCTAAATACTCTTTTTGTTTGGTTGTTTATATTCGTTTGCAAACACATTGTTGGCAGAAATGCTACAGGGAAAAGCAAACGGGAAGAAGCAACTTGAATTATATGCACTCAGCATACTCAGAGTTGCACTGTAAACATCGAATTCATACTGAGTAGGTGATCTTTTTAAAGGAAGAAATCCACCAAGGGGCCATTGCAAATCTCTTGAGAGCATTTAGTGATTGGATAGAAAACAACTAGGCATATATGGATGAGCGAGGGTCTTGATACTTCAGTTTCCACACCTGTGAAGTTAGCATTAGAAACACAGAGCAAACCGATCCACTCCTAAAAGTAAGCATGCTGAGGGTGAAAATAAATCCTTAGTCCAAATAGTAACTATTTCACACAAGAAAATCCAACAAAGAGGTCCTTGGGACAGAAGGGAAGGTCCCGCTTTGTATCTTGCACCATAGACTCGGTAACTCACAGCTGATCAGAACAATAGCCCCATCCACAGCAAGCTGTGAAAAGCTAAAAGGAGACCTCCCTGTGCTCATCATAAAAAAAATAAATAAATCTGCATCCAGATACACCATCTGCTAGGCCCTCCACAGAGCTAATATATCTCTGGGCATTTGAGACATCCTTGAGAAACAAATGTGTGTGTGTGTGCGCACGCACACACACACACACACACACACACACACACACACAAGTCTTCATGTGTGCCGAGTGTCAAAATCCTTGGAAGAATAAGGGGTGGTTGAAGGGCCAGGACAGGATAAGAGAAAGTGCATTAGCAATCTCCTTACATATTTTTATACACAAAATTACAGAGGTTAAATGGCAAATCCCTCCCAATACATATTTCTGTGCGCAGTGCAGTGGCAATTCTAATCTAGTTATGGTGCATAAACCTAAAGCATAGTAGCAGCTATTTCACATTATTTCAGAGGACTTGCTCCAGAATAAAAGCATATCAGTCTTCTGCATGTAGTAATTTAATGGTCTCTTTATGCCAAGGCACATGTCTATATGAAATCAGTCCGCATCATTTGGAAGGTGATAATCCTACACCCAATAATTGGCTTCATTTTTTTGTTCATAGTTCTTCTAGTTCCCTCTAGTTCCACATCTTGAAGATCATCATAATATTTCTCAGTATGATAGGTGCATATGAGAAGTGTATATGAGAGATGAAAGGAAAGTCCAATGCTGCACAACACATGCAACTGGAACATGGAATGTGAGAAGTATGGAAAAAAATAAACTGGAAATTGTAAAACAACACCTGTAAAGTGTTAACTCTGGAAATGACAAACTCAGAAGAAATGTAATGGCTCTAATACTGAAACAAGATGTAGCACAGACAGTTAGGAGCTATAATTCAAAATATGACCAGATAACATCTGTCAGACTCCATGGAAAACCTATAAACATAACCATCATTCAAGTCTATGCTCCAGCTACCAATGCTGAAGGTGATGAAATTGAAAGCATTTATGTGAACTTCCAGGAGGAAACTGATCACACACCAAAACAAATTATGGCCATAATCACAGGTGACCGAAATGCAAAAGTAGGAAACAAAACATTTTGGAAAACAAAATGTTGTTGGAAATGTTGGCCTAGGGGTCAGAAATGAAGCAGGGGAATGACTCATAGATTTCTGTGACACCAACAGTCTGTTATCTCAAATACATGCTTCAAACAACTCAATAGGTGACTGTAACTGTAGACATTACCAGACGACCAATACAGAAATGAAATAGGCTACATCATTGAAAGCCCAAGGCAGAAAAGCTGTATTCTCTCTGCCAAAACAAGACCAGGAACCAATTGTGATACTGGTAATGAACTGTTAATGTCAAACATTACAGTAAAGCTCAAGAAGAACACTAAAGTAATCTTAGTACTCAAACATAATTTAAACAACATTTCTGATACATTAAAAGTCCACAAAAAGAACGGATTTGCCTTACTAAACTCAGTTGACCATGACCAGAACTGTGGATTGAAACCAGAGGTGTTATTAGGGAAGAATGCGAAAAGGTGCTTCCTGAGGCAAAGGACAAGATGGAGCCATACAGAAGCGGACTCAATGGGCAGTTAACTCTTACTTTGACAGTGGGAACAGGAGGAAAAGTCCCTCCATCACTTATAAAAGCAGCAAGCTATTTTGTGAGGTGCCAATCAGGATGCATACTTTGCCACTGCTCTGTGGCCCCCTGCATTTGCACTCAGCTTAATGTTAAGGCTCTATATGAAGAGAACAAGTGAGAATACTTTACATAGTATCTGCTGGCATATAAGCAGCACACATTCCTTTTTCCTTTATATCAGTCATTATAGACTCAAGTAGGATTTATAATCTCGTTTCCCAAGTGAGAGCCCATTCTGTACTGGCTCTCTTTTTCCCCTCTGAAACTGTCTCATTCATTTTTATGGAAAAATTAATAGTATTATAGGCCCTAAAGTTGAAACTAAATGCTGTATACAGATCTATGTGATTTTTGACACTTCGTAAAAATGATCAGTGGATGGAATTGTTAATTGTCTGTCCTCCTACAAATGCTCGTTTTTTTCTTAAGTATTAAACATGTTCTACCCTATTCACAAAGATATTTCCAAGATTTGGGACAATATATTTGCGAATGTAGATCTAATGACACCTCAAGACACATATTTTAGCTGGTGTATACATATACTAAAGTACTTCTCATTGCTTAAACTGATTATGATCAATAATAATAAGTCAATGAAACAAAATGACAATGATAATACAAACAAGAACATTTTGTAAAACTGGGATTTCAGCATATACTTAAACAAAATGGAGTTGTTATGTTTAAACATTGATAAGGACTGAAGGAATATAAACTCATTTAAAGCCATGTTCAAAATGACAACTCCATCTATATATATGAAAGTAAAGATGTCGGAACCACTTGGAGGCCAAAACAATCTTAGCTCAGATCACAACATTTCAAATCATCTTAATTCACTTATGTTAACAATTAAGCAAGTGTGGGGCTGTCACCCAACCCAGCTGCAAATATTTGCGCACCCCCCCCCTTTCCCATCACATTGAAGGTTATCTCCCGGGTAGTGCTGGAAAAAAAAATCAGGTGACAGCCATTTCCCATGATGCTTTAAGGGCTGTCAAACTGTCCATCAAGTTGTCACCTGACCAGTCTTTTCCCATGCTTCTTTTAGACTCTTCGTATGACAAATTGAAAGGCGCTATTATCTGCTTGCGGTGAAAAGGAACTGCTTCGGCTTTGATAAGATATCACTGGTCCCAGGTGAGGGGAGGCTGACAGCACATCAAGACAAGACAACAACATAGAAAACACTAAACGCAGGAGGCCCTAGATTTACAAACATCTGTTGTCATTATTTATTTCCTTGCTCCCTGGTTTAGTTTTAGACTTTGTTCTAAGCTGGTTCAAAAGAAGACACTCCGTTTTCCATAGTTTCCACTATTACCACGGTTTCTGGATGTTTAAAACAGGCAGATGAGAAAGGAAAAGATAACAGAGCAATCTATTATAGCTACCTACCTTGCCTGATGCAACTTCTGCTTGAAATGTTCTGTGTCTCTTGGTGAAATTACTTCACAAGAAATGAGAAACCCTAAAAAAGACAAAAGGAAGATATTTAAAAAGTTGCCTTTAAATGTAACAGCAAGTGTTGATATATTTATTTAACAGCCGTCCTGCATATCTCAGGTGCTGGCATTGATATCTCTCAGCCTCAGCACATGCACCCAAATTTATCATTGGAAACAGACCAAAAAGCAATTTGTTTGTTGTTTTATTGTGAGGTTGTGACAAGGAGAAAATGTAGCAGGTTGCTAACATCCCCACCTTGTGTACAAATCTTTTTCTGCATGTACTTTTGTAATATCATAGAGATGTTTTATAATACCACTTTAAAAGGTGGTGCCACCATTGCTGATCTGAGAACCAGAGTTTGATAATTTTGTGTTTAGACATGTGGTTCAGCCAGAGCAAGAGAAATATGCACAACTGAAATGTAGAGGCTCAGGACTTCACAAAGAGCTTGCATCATCTCGAACATAATGCATTTCAAAAGAAGGGATTTATAATTTAGCATTCACATTTGGGCAAACTGGTTAGAATGGTGGAATAGAATCTGAAGGACCGTAGTTCAAATCCCCACTCACTCATGGAAATCAGTGGGTGACCTTGGAATAGTCACTGTCTCGCAGGCTAGCCTACTTCACAGGGCTGTTAAGAAGAGAAGGAGGGAGGAAACTGCATTACCCACCCTGAGCTCCTTGGAGGAATGACAGGAGAAATTATCATTAATAATGGTAATTTGCCTTGTGCTATTCAATGAGCTGAATGAGGATTGATATATGAGAAGCCACAGGTGCAAACTCCTTCACAGCTGCAAAGCTCTTAAGACACCAAAGGGTTCTCTGGGTTGTGAATTGGCAAAATTATAAATAGAGAACGTTCAGCCCACAAGCACAAATGTTATGGCTTTCACATCAACATTTAGTATACTGTGCTTTTGAAACTACTGCAATGTGATGCCATCAACAAACTCATAAGCAAGTTCTATCAGGAAGCACATCATAGTCCCCAGAAAAATTACTTGAATGAGTGATGACTGAATTCAGTCAATATGTAGAATAACTGAATTCAATCAATATTTTGGAAGATGATGTTATAAAAACCTGATCAATTCAAGCAGAGGGGCTCTCTTGATGACAGTTCCCAGGCTCTTGACCTCCTTAGCAAAAGAGAGGAGGCTGGAATTTTCTTGGCAACTTTCCCCTACCCCCGCTTCATTTCTTCTGCTTGCTGACAATGACTATTTTACTCAACAGACTTTGAGCATTTGACAGGCTTTAAAGAAAGTGCTTGCATTTTGAATTGTACTCAGAGGTAAATGCACAGCCAGTGAATCTGTCCCAAAGCTGCTGAGAATGAGGTTTTAGTGCTGTACACTTCTTAGTGATATGTTTTTACTGTTTTAAAATGAGCTTTTAAATTATTCTGCTTTAATTGTTGATCATGTTTGGCATGACTTCTGTAATGTTACTGTAAGTTACCTTCAGTTTCCTTGTGCTGGGGAGAAAGATGGGATATACAATAAATACTTTTTCTTTTGGTTTTAAAGGCAATCTCTAGTTCAATTTTTTTAAAAAACACAAAAAACACAAAAAACCCAAAACACCCTGGTTTATGGGATATTGTGTACTAGCTTTTAAAGTATTAATTAATTTAAACTCATGTGATCCTGATTTCTTTAATCAAGCCATAAATAACCCACCCCAACATAGTATTTTCATATATATATGAGCTCAGAATGATTTTGGATTATGAGATCATTATATGAAGAATTCTTTGCCATTCTCATGGCATCTGATCCAAAGTATCTCACAAAACAGATATAAAAACATACAACTCATAATTCTTATCATAACATTTCACAGATTATTTCTGAAGTTCTCAATTATATAAATGAAATATATGTAGGGTTAGTTGCAGATAGAAAGGAAATTATCTGACCTGCTTTAGGATAGATTCACTGGCTGTGCCTTTACCTCTGAATACAACTCAAAATGCAAGCACTTACTTTAAAGGCCTCAAAGTTGGGGGGCAGGTACTTTAAGGAGGAAGTCTTAAGAATATCCACTGAGGTCACTTCTCTAAATACCAGCACTGTCAAAAGGGAAGTAAGGCACAAAGCGAGAAACGCTTTTAGATGCTGTCTAGAGTCAACAACACCTTCTTTGGGACATCAAGGATTCATTGCCCTACACATTTAAAATCTACTTAAGTGCACTTTTTCATGTTTATTTTACTCATGATGTCACTACCTTATTTACTGTTTTAAATGTTAATCTGCAATAAGTATTGTTCAAGAACAGCTTGAATAGATATGTAAAGCAAGATATAATAAACTGTGCCATAGATGACCTGTTCTTCAGTATCCCTCTTCCAATTCATCAGCTTTGAATCGTTTATTTTTATTGCATTTCTTGCCACAACACTATTTGGATGTATATTTTCATGTTCATGATCTATCCATGTAGTAATAAGATTAGAAATGTATATGCATGGATCTGATCATGAACCTTTTCTCTCTCTCAGTCTCACTGTTTCCCAAGATATCCACTTTATTTTCTGCTATTTCTTTAAGGTGTTCATAAGCTGCCTTTTAGGGCACAGCCTTTTCAAGGAAGTGTTTGCAAACTCTATTAAATACATTAGAAACATCCGGTCATCATACACTACTACAAGACACAAAATATGAAACCGTAACATTAAAAAAAAACTTCTTTCTTTGTTCATGTCAGAACCACCACCATTCAATTAATAAATACATTAGGAAATTTTTGCCCAGAATGGGCAGCAGCAAGAACATTAGGGTCAGCTGCAAATTTTCCATAGTACATGTTGAAGGGCACAGCATATACTAACAGAGGTATGAAGTTGCCTGTTCTTTTCTACATTTTCAAAGGTCTGTGTCAGTGCAAAAATCCCATTTTCTTAGGCTTGCTTTCCTTCTGTCAACTGCAGTCTGTAGCCTTATAAGTGACTTTTAAGTACTGTAACTAAGTTTTCTGTGTGACTGGGGTCCAGCCTTTCCTGCGGTTCCATCTATTTTAAAAAGATGGGTAGCTCACTCTTTCCACATGACACTTCCTCAGGTTTCACAGATGTTCTGACCAAACCTTTCCTTGATTTTTATCTGGGACAGACAGGAGAGCAGCCGCAAGGTAGAAGCTTTGTGTTTCTCACTGTTAGGGGCTACCTCTCTCCCTATGTCATGGGGTGCAATGCCTGCTAGGTAAATGATTTTGACTCTAGGGTTTGGTTCCAGATGCCCTATAATGATTCTACAGCTGTCTATCTGTTTTGCATGAATTGAACCATACCAACCTGGCTTTGCATATTTGCTTGTGGAGTAACACAGGACCTCGTGGTCGTAGTATGAGCCTGGTGGCGCAGTGGTCAAACCGCTGTTCTGCAGCCAAAACTGTGCTCACAACCTGGGGTTCAATCCCAGGTAGACAGCTCAAGGTTGACTCAGCCTTCCATCCTTCCGAGGTTGGTAAAATGAGTACCCAGCTCGTGGGGGAGGGGCAATGTGTAGCCGGGATAATTAACTTGTAAACAGCCCAGAAAGTGCTTGAAGCACTATGGGGTGGTATATAAGCAGCACACTTTGCTTTTGCTTTTGACCTAAGAGTTCTCAGCATTTGTATATGTGTGCCCTAACACAGGCTCCCAACAACTTTAGAACAATAATTTTTCCATGTAGAGACATTTTGCTTTGTATTTTGGCAGTGTTTCTAGCAGGTCAGAGTGCAATCCAAGGTAACACCTAGGAATTTGGAGGCAAAACAATGACCTAGTTGGACACACTGAATGTGACCTGAAGTTTCCTAGATGCCTGCTTGTTTCTCACATGAAAGACACTTTTTAAAGTCTTAGTAGGATTGAGTTTAAGTTGATTTCTGTCACATGTGCCACGTTCTTCTAATGCATCTGTTAAAAGAGATTCTACCACATGAAAGCTGTTAAACTGAGTAGCAAGTGTAAGATCATCAGCATAAATAAAACTTTTGGTACCTCAAGGATGCTAAACAAAACAGGAACAAGTACACTGTTCTGGGACAGACCATTAATTTGAGTACTCCATCAGCTAGGTTGTCCTTGAAAATTAGCAAAAGATCTACAGCTTTGCAAAAGGGTTGCTGTCAATTTACTTAGTTTATAATTCTTGGTTAGATTATAGATGATTTTTTTTGGTAGTAATACTTAATGATGAAGAGTGTAATAGGTAGCTATTGGTCAACAAAAGCTATACCTGTGACCTCAGTAGGTTCAAAGCAATTCTAAAAATATTGCACTAAATTCAGGATTCTTCCCAGCCTGTTTTGGGATGCAAAGTGGTGCCACTACTTCCATTAGATGGTTAAGAATCAATAAAAAGCTTATAGCCCTATCAAATAGTTTGCAATAGAGGCATATACTTTTATTCCAAATGTTACAATCCATACCATAGTATCCACTGTTAGGTGTTAAATTATAACATGACAAGTTCCACAAGACACATTACAATACCTCAACATCTCAAAACCTAGTGGCACAAAAACAAGTACAAAAAGTTACTCCACAACAAATTAGCTTCCAAGACCTGTCAAAAGTCAGCATTGTAAGTTCAACTAGAAAGGAATTCCATAATCACTGGTGCATCGCAGAGGAGGTCCTATCTGTCATGTTTATCAAGCTGATAAATTTCACAGGCTGGCATACAACCAGAGGCATCAGTGGTGATCTTGGTTATGGACAGCATCATATGGCTACTCTTTAGCAAGACTGAGTGTAGTCATTTGAAGTTTTCAGAGTTAGAAGAGTATTTTGATTTTGGCTAAAAGACAGTCAGCCCATTGGTGCAAAATCAGTGTTATGTGTACTGACCTTCTTGTCCCTGGCAATATGAAGGCAGCTTCATTAAATATCAGCTGCCTTCACCATTTCATTGTCCTTTCCAGAGAATTGTGTCTTCTCGTGATATGCCCAAAGTAGGACAGCTTCAGCTTCAACATTTTGGCCTTCATAAAGTCATTGGCACCCTTGCAAGACTGT